ATTGCAAAAGCTAACAGGTTGTCTTAATCTAATTTAGGCCTTTGAATGAGCGTTGGTCTCTCTTGTAAAAAGAACAAATCTCTTTATATAAGCCTCTAATTTGTCCCGTCAGTGATTCATGTAGTTTTTACGGGCAGCACCAAAGCAAATGGAAGCCCAAACTTGTCCATGGCTCGCTCTAGGGGCCTCTTTGGTCACAGAGGAATACAGGGAAATACCCCCCCCCCCACACACACACACCCCACACACACAATCCCTCTGACGCTGCCCATTTTCACCGCTTTCAGCACTTTTTCCTGCTGTGCACACAAAACCTAGCACCTCTGTCTTTTTTTTCTTTTTTTTTTCACCCCTCCAGCCTTTTCTCTTTTACACCTTGAACACCACACATGAACACACACCCCTTGCCTGTCTTTATCTCCCTTGTCTATTCTTTGATGGTGTGTTCATCAAATAAAGCAGTTTTGGGGAGGGTGGATTGGGCCCTGAAAAGAGTGAGTTGGGAGGGGGCTTGAAGGGTGTGCTCTATTTGCTGTGATGGCCCATCCTCCTGGACAAAGAAGGCTGCTGTTGTGCACGCTATAGATGAGAGATGGTGGGAGACGGAGGCTGGAGAAGTGCTGGGTTGTTTTATTTATTTATTTTTTCTCTTTTACAATAGATATGGGGTTTATAGACTGGATTACCTGTATCTCCCAACTGATTGTCTGGTTGTGACCAAATTCCCAGGAAGCCATGATGGAAATGTCAAAGGCCCTGATTTGTGTGTGTGTGTGTGTGTGTGTGTGTGTGTGTGTGTGTGTGTGTGTGTGTGTGTGCTGTGTTGGTGAGGACCAAAAATGTCCCTTATGGGGACAAAATGCCATTTTTAAACCTCAAAATGTGGTTTTAGCATCAGGATTACAATTAGGTTATGGTTGGGTTTAGGCTAAGGGTTAGGGTTAGGCCTTCATTTTTGATGCTAAGGGTTAAGGTAAGCGGCTAGGGAAAGCATTATGTCAATTAGATGTCCTCATTTAGATATGAAAGTGTGTGTGTGTGTGTGTGTGTGTGTGTGTGTGTGTGTGTGTGTGTGTGTGTGTGCGCGCGCACAAGAGAGAGAGAGAGACATTTGATTTGGACAAAGGGGACAGGCCAGCGCAGCCATTCATGTTGTCATTGCCACTGAAAACAACACTCCCTTCCTTTCTCTGTCATACTCTGAGCTTTCAACCCTCTTCTCTCTTTTAACATGGTTCCCTGCTCCCTCCCACATATAAATACATGCACACACAGTGGATTTAGCTACAGGTCTCCTCTTCAGTGCGTTATAAATCTTTCGGCTATAATATTCAGGAAACCTTTGAAACAACCAGCAAATTACCTGCTGTAAAAACTGACTAGCACCCTAGCGCAGTGGCTTACCTTACCCCACAGCTCCAGCACAACTATTTTTATTCCGTGAGTCGAGCAGAAAACCCTAATTAAAGCTTTTATGTCACTATATATTATTGGAAGCCATAAACATAGGCAGACACGAGCAGCTGGGGGTTTGGTATGTGTGTATGGGGCAAGGTATTCAGTTTACGATTTAAGACTTACTGTTAGATTAAAGTAATGCAATACTCGTTCTTCAGATGAGCACGTAACATAACAAAACTATCTCGCCCTGCTGGCAGAGGTTTTCACGTATTTTTCAAATTTGGGATTTAAGAGCGAACGTGCCTGCTGTGTGCCTGGAACCAATTTTAGGGGTGATCTGGACCTTTTGACACAGCTACCACTAAATTGAGTCTGAAGTGTTTATAAATTCCCTTAAAGCTTTTCTATGCGGCTTTTGTTCTTGACTTATTGCCACGTTTTATTGTGTGTCCCATTTCCAAAAATCCACGTTCACAGTCTCCAGAGATCTAATAGGAAAACTTGGCATGTTTGATTGCTGCCATTGATGATATTAATAGGTGTGTGTGTGTGTGTGTGTGTGTGTGTGTGTGTGTGTGTGTGTGTGTGTGT